CCCCTCCCCGGGGACCGTCCCTGGCGTCGCGCGCTTCCTCCCCCTCAGCCGCCTGCCCCCTTCGGTCTGGACGCGCTTATCCCACCCAGCTCTGCTCTCCTTGGCTTGCAACGAGTCTCCTCTGCCGCGCTGGCCCCTGTGACAGCCTCTCCCGGTTGACTGGCCGAGCCCCCCAATTGTTCTCCAGGGTTTTCCCCGCCCACGGAGCGAATCGAGCCACGGCCCTACAGGGAGGAACTCAGTGTTGTGGTAGACCTAGGTCCGCAGATGTGCTTTGCCCAGTGAAAAGGTAAGGGCTGTGGGCTAGTCCTGAGGTCCCTGGAAACTGCCTGGCACCCCCAGCCTGGCCTCCCTACCGTCCCCTCCCATCCCTAAGGCTCTTTGGTCTGGCCAGTGAAGCAAGTGCCAGAATGTAAGTGACTTTGACACAGCCTGGAAACTGATTTAAGATGCAGGTGCCTAGTACACACCAGGTTGCACCAGAGCTGGAGGCCGACCTTCTTTTTTTGTTGTTGTGTTTTGTTTTGTTTTTTTTTTGGATCGAACTTGGTCCTTGCAAGGCAGGCAGCAGAACCACTGAGCTAAATCCCCAGCCCAGGAGGCTGTACTTCTAATCTGAGCCCTAGAAGATCCTGTCATCCTGGTTCCTCATTTTGAAAAGGCTCGGGAGTTGATTCATGAACTAAATAGAGGCAGAGGTGAGGATGTAGGGTGAGCCTTTCAGACAGTCTAGCAGGATCCCTTGCTTCACCTGCTTACTCCCATAACAACAGCAGGCTACCTTTCAGTACACTAATCCTACAGTCAGCACCCTGTGCTAGGTATGGCATTTTCTGATACACTGTGGCTTCCTCTCAAAATTGACTTTCTCCCTTTTGCTTTCTTGCTTTTGTTTCTCTTAACATTGTGGCAACACAACAGCCCTCTCTGCTCAACATACACAGTCACTGGTACCTTGGCACCACTATACTTTGGGTGTTCTTTCAGTTACCAGCCAGAATATTATGTATAATACTTAGCATTACTTTTTAAACACTGGGCTAAGCCCTCCGTGAGGTCATAAAGTTTTGACAGATCCATTAACCCTTGAAGTGAGGTACATTTTGGAATTCAAAATGTCCCAGGTTCAGAAAACTAATATTATGCATAGCTTGCATATATGTAACACCACTCACAGATATCATTCCAAGATCAACCATTAATATTTCTCCCAAGCAATAGATGAATTATTTTTACTGGGGAAAAATATGTAAAGTCAGGGCTGTCTTTGACAGCCTGCCACTTATCCAAGTTAGTTTTGCATGTAGAAACTTACTGTCAGGAGTTGAAAAGACTACACCCTTTCATCAAATCGTTTGGCCCTCTTGTTGAAAACTAAATGAGCTGGGCATGGTGGCGCATGTCTGTAATCCCAGCACTTGGGAAGCTGAGGCAGGAGGATCGCTGAATCACTTCGAGTTGGAGACACCCTGGGTTACGTAGTGAGTTCCAGGGCAGTCTGAACTGCATAGTGAGATCCTGTCTCAAAAAGAAAGAAAGAAAGAAAGAAAACCATAAATAAAACCCATGAATGGTTGTGTTTATTATTTATTTATTAATTTATTTATTTATGTGCTTATTTATTTATTTGTATCAGGAATTGAACTTGCCCTTGGGCTTGCAAAGCAGGCAGCGGAACCACTGAGCCCAACCCCCTGCCCAATTAATTATTTATTCATAGTGTACTGGGAGATTGAACCCAAGGCCTTTGCACTGAGCTACATCCCCAGCCTTTTTAGTTTTTCTTTTTTCTTTTTGGTACCAGGGAGCAAACTCAGGACCTTGTACTTGCCAGGCAGGTAGCAGAATCACTGAGCTAATCCCCTGGCTCTAGTTCTTCTTTTTTGAGACACAGTCTTGCTAAGTCACTAAGTTGCCCAGCACTGGGCTCAAACTTGAGATCCTCCTGCTTTAGCCTCCCAGGGATCTGGGATTACAGGCATGTGCCACCACATCCAGAAAGGGTTTATTCATTTATGTTCTTAAGGGTTTATTTTTGAACTATCGATTCTATTCCTTTGTATATCTTTTTCTTGGTACTGGGGATCGAACTTGGGACCTTGTACTTGCAAGCAGGTGGCAGAACCACTGAGCTAAATCCCTGGCCCTGTCTTTTTCTTGTTTTTGTTTTTTATATTTTTGAGACAAGGTCTCAGTATGTACCCAGTGCTGGCCTTGAACTTGAGGCAATTCTCTGCCTCAGCCTCCTGAGTGTTGGTATTACAGGCCTCTGCCGCCATGCCCAGCTGACCTCTATAACTTTATGTGAATACCACATTGTTTTGATTACTGTGGTTTTGTAGTAAATTTTGAAATCTGCCTGGACTTGGTGGCACGCTCAGGAGGCTGAGGATCCCTGTGAGTTCAAGGCCAGCTTGGGCTACATGGTAAGTTCGGAGACCCTGTCTCAAAACCAAACCAGCTCAAATGCAGACCAAAGGGGGAAAAAAAAGATGAGGTGTGAGTTCTCCAACTCTATGTGTTTCTGAATTTTTTGTTTGTTTTTCTGTTTAACTTTTCTTGGTCACTGAAATTTCCATATGATAGAATGGACTGGATCTGTAGATTAGTTTGGAGAGGTTTTGTTTTTGTTTTGTGGTACTGAGGATCATCGTGCTACTCTACCATTCTACTCCCAGACCACAGTTTGGAAAATAATGCCATTTTATATATTAAGTCTTTGGGTCTATAAACATGTAATGCCTTTAATTTATTTAGGCCTTCAGCTTTTGGGGGGTTTTTGGTTTTGTTTTGTTTGCCTGAGTATTGAACCCAGGGTTTTGCATATGCCAAACTCACTTCCCTACACTTTTTCATTTTGGGGGAGGGGGCAGCTTCAGGGCTCTCTTTTACATCCTGCCATTGCCCATGAGCAAAACTCCTGAGACATGCTGGGGACAGGGACAGTGGCATATTTCCCTTTGAGTGAGAAGCAGGACTAGCTGGGAAAGTGCCTCTGGCCACTGCTTGGAACAGTGTGGAGCCTCCTTCCCGTGCATACTCTGGGGCTTGCTCCTCAAACTTGAGTGGGGGCTGGGAGGTAGAGGAAGGGAGCTCCTGGCCTGCCCCTCTGCCATGTTCAGTGGGCAGTTATGCTGTGTGGAGTTGAATTACTGAGAAGTGCTGAGAGGCTGCCCTTCCTGAGCTGATTCCCTCATTTTGGTTTTTGCTTTTTTGGTACTGGGGATTGAACTCAGGACATTGCACTTGCAAGGCAGGCAGTAGCACCATTGACCTAAATCCCCACCCCCTGATAGACTAACTTTGATAGGGAGCAGGAGCCCAGATTTCTTATCCACATCTTCCAATAATGCTTTGTTTTCCATGCACCACACATTCTTGATATTCTTACTAAGATTTGGTAGACTTTCATACTTTTTTATTGTCACTGGGAATCGAACTTGGGTCCTTGTGCTTGCGAGGCAGGCAGTGGAACCACTGAGCTAAATCCCCAGCCCTTCTCTTATACATTTGATACGTTTCTTCATTTGCTCTCTGCCCATATTATTACATCCAAAAACTCAAGTGTTTTCTGTGAATGATTTTTACTTGTTCTGCCTATGTCCCTGGGAATAGACCCAGAGGGCTCTTCACACTGCCACTCTGCAAGTGGAACTCCACTCTCATTTCTGGCACAACTACAAAAATGAAAAAAAGGAAAAAATAAACTTTAGGATCTCAGAGCCTTTTTACTTTGAAGTTGGAGATGTGGAATGGTGCTGATATATCCATCTCACGGTCTTGGAAACGGTCATGGCGAGGAGGGCTGGAAGTATAGGTGTCAACTGCAGGACTCTCTCTTTTGAAACAGGGTCTCCCTATGTATTTCAGGCTGACCTTGAACTCACTATGTATCCCAGGCTGGCCTTGATCCCATGATGATTCTCCTGCCTCAGACTCCCTAGGGCTGGGATTACAGGGATGGCCATTGAGAGCCATCTCAGTTTTAACCTTTCTGCTGAGCTGTGAGACCCTTGGGGATATGGGTTTGTTGTCTCCCTGTCATATTTCTGTCCTCTCCAAGATGCAGTGCACTGTGCAAGTGTGTAACTGCCTGTCGTCTGCCTTTCCCTGCAGGTGCGTGTGGCCCCCACTGCCTTCATGTGTGTAAAGCAGCGCATGTGTGAGGTGTAGACACGGCTTTCTTAGGGGCCACAGGACTGGGCATTTGGGTGGACATATTGCTTTGTAACTGGAGTCCATCTTTGCCTCTAGGGCTTCCTGCACTGGCCATGCCTGTGCCCACTGAGGGCACCCCGCCACCCTTGAGTGGCACCCCTATTCCAGTCCCAGCCTACTTTCGCCATGCAGAGCCTGGGTTTTCTCTCAAGAGGCCCAGGGGGCTTAGCCGGAGCCTGCCCCCACGGCCACCTGCCAAGGGCAGCATCCCTGTCAGCCGTCTCTTCCCTCCTCGGACTTTGGGCTGGCACCAGCCCCAGCCTCGGAGAGTGTCATTCCAGGACAAGGCCTCAGAGCTCCTGCAGAGCCCTGGGTATGACCCAAACAGGCCAGAGTCCTTCTTCCAGCAGAGCTTCCAGAGGCTCAGTCGCCTGGGCCATGGCTCCTTTGGAGAGGTCTTCAAGGTGGGTGAGAGGATGGCTTCCTAGGCCTGCCTATGGACCCCTTTGTTTTCCTCCCCTGGGTGGGACAGTGTCCTGGACAGCCTGCTCCTTCCTCGCTGTCTCTGACAGCCTGCCTTTCTACTGTGCATGATTGGCTGCTCTCCCATGCTCCCCTTGCAGGCCCTCCCAGGGCTGTTTTATGTACACTGGTGCCTTGTCTGGAGCCTGGCACACCACCCTTCAGTACTCCCGGCTGCCATCTCTCTGCCTGGAGCCAGTTGTGCTGGGGTTCTTGGAGAACTCTGCCTGGCCCCTGGAGCAGGCCCAAGTGTAGTCCCCGCTACAACCCCCAATGCTGGTAGGCTTGCCACCCTGCCTGCCACCTTTTTTTTTTTAACTTAAAATTTTGTAATTAATTATATTTTCTTTGAAATGGTAGTTTTCCCTTGTAGTATTGAAGACAGTATTGTTTAAAATGCAGGCAGCATCGGCCCCTGGATCAACTGCCTTTCTAGAAGACAACTTGTTTACAACACATCATACTGCCTCTGGGGTTCTGGAGCCCTGGAGTCTCCAATCAGAGTAGAGACTGCCCCATGCACCACAGTGCTGATAGGGTTTTTTTTTAAATTTCAAAACTTTTTGTTTTTTTGGTAGTGGGATTGATCCTAGGGCCTTTGCACTGAACTACATCCCCAGCCTTTTTATTTGTTTTTTTTTGTTTTTTTGTTTTTTTTTTTTTGAGACAAAGTCTCATAGTCTAAGTTGCTAAGTGGTCTAATCTAAGTTTGAACTCGTGATCCTCCTGCTCAGCTTCCAGGAGAGCTGGGATCATAGACATGTGCCACCGCACCTTGTTTACATATGTTAAATGTGGTTGTGTCCCTGTCGCCCACCTTCCCATCCCACCACCTCTCTTCCAGGTACGCTCCAAGGAAGATGGCCAGCTCTATGCAGTCAAGCGCTCCATGTCACCATTTCGGGGCCCCAAGGACCGGGCCCGTAAACTGGCTGAGGTGTGCAGCCACGAGAAGGTGGGGCAGCACCCGCACTGCGTACGACTGGAGCAGGCTTGGGAGGAGGGTGGTATCCTGTACCTGCAGACGGAGCTGTGTGGGCCCAGTCTTCAACAACACTCTGAGGCCTGGGGTACCAGCCTGCCAGAGGCCCAGGTCTGGGGCTACCTGCGGGACACCCTACTGGCTCTGTCCCACCTTCATGGGCAAGGCCTAGTCCACCTTGATGTCAAGCCAGCCAACATCTTCTTGGGACCCCGTGGCCGCTGCAAGCTGGGTGACTTTGGGCTGCTGGTGGAGCTGGGAACTCCCGGAGCTGGTGAGGCCCAGGAGGGAGATCCCCGCTACATGGCTCCTGAGCTGCTGCAGGGCTCCTACGGGACAGCAGCAGACGTATTCAGGTAAGGGCTGGGACATGAAGGGGTTGTGATGGGATGTAGGCAGCCTTTTCTGTGGGTGGTCAGCAGAGAGAATGACTCCCCAGGAAAAGAGCTCCTTCCTGACCCCCAGGTCTGGAGAATATTTGGTCTCAGGCAGAGGGATATGCCCCTGCCCTCCAGAGGGATCTCTGGAGCTGGCTGCCTATAAGCAGCAAGCCCCCTGGAGACCCTTTGTGTAGATTTACCAAGTCCTCACAGCTCTGTAGTAGGGTCAACCATTACTCCACTGCAGAAGGGACTTGCCCCAAGTCGTCAGTAGCTAAGGTTACGCCCAAATACTGGTTCTAAGTCCACACTGTCAGCCATTGCCTTGTCGCCAATGGTTGTACCTGACAAGTCTTAGCAGAAAGATGCTAATACCAGTAACTATAGAAACCTTGGTGCCTGTCAGTGAGGTGGTGTAGGGTCCACACTTTCTGACAAGATCCCCTGAGGCTCAGGTCCTACCTGGGGTCATTGGCCCTTTTGGGACCTCATTAGAGCTTCTCACCCTTCTTCCCTCATTCATCTGGCTTATGGTAGAAGAGAGCTGCCCTTTCCTACCCTCTAAGGTTGCACGGGACTGGCGTCAGTGTCCCAGGGCCAATTCTGCCCATTTCTATCCTCATCCCTTGTCTTTCCCAGTCTGGGTCTCACCATCCTTGAAGTAGCCTGCAACATGGAGCTACCCCATGGTGGGGAGGGCTGGCAGCAGCTGCGCCAGGGCTACCTGCCCCCCGAGTTCACTGCTGGTGAGTGGGGATCCAGGGATGGGCTCCCTGTATATGGCAGGGAATGGCTGCCTGTGGGACTACTGTTAAGCTGTGGAGTAGGTTTGGTTTGGTTTGGTTTGGTTTGGTTAGTGCCCTGAGGTCCCTGATATGGCTCTGCCTCATGGGCAGGTCTTTCTACTGAGCTGCGGTCTGTCCTTGTCATGATGCTGGAGCCTGACCCCCAGCTGCGGGCTACAGCTGAAGCCTTGCTGGCCCTGCCCATGCTGAGGCAGCCGTGCCCTTGGAGCATCCTGTGGTACATGGCTGCCGAGGCCCTGAGTCGAGGATGGGCCCTGTGGCAGGTAAGCCGCCATGTGCTGGGATACCACCTGCACCCTGCATCAGGACCTGCCTGGCCTCCTAAGGTTCAGTCTCCCCACAGGCCCTGCTCACTCTGTTGTGCTGGCTCTGGCATGGCCTAGCTCACCCTGCCAGTTGGCTGCAGCCCCCAGCCCCACCAGCCACCCCACCTGGCTCACCACCCTGCAGCCCACTCCTGGACAGCAGCCACTCCAGCAGCTGGGATGATGACGGCATAGGGTAGGTGAATGCTTAAGATGTTTTGGGGTGAGGGGACATCACTGTGACTAGATGCCACATAGGAGGCCCAAGGCCTATGGAGAGAAGTGGATGGAAGCCTGTCACAAACCTTACTGCATCATACCGCATGGGTCAGCCTTGCCTATGTTAAGTGTGGCTCGGCCGTGGGATGGCAGCGGCACACAGCCAGCTGTATATCAGCTGCATCAGGCAGGCCAGTGCCCCTGCTGGGATAGTCCCCTCCTCAGTAGAGACTGTTGGTCCTCAGGGATAAGATATTGTCCTTCCCTGAGTGAAACAAAGCCTCCTAAACCTTGACAGTCCCCCATCCCACCTTAGTCACAGGTTCCTGATGGCCAAGTGAGAGGCCATAATTAAACTGCTGCACAGGAAAGCTACATGTTCCAGACACATAGCTTTCTTTTCTTTTTTTGGTACCAGGGATTGAACTCAGGACCTTGTGTTTGCTAGGCAGGCAGCGGCACCACTGAGCTAAATTCCCGGCCTCAGACACATAGCTTTCCGGAGGAATTCCTTCCTTGATACTAATGTCACCCTTGTTGTAAGGGCCACTTTAGAGAACAGAGGAAGCACTTGAAAAACTTCATTTATAAAGAGTTCTCTTAAAATGCAGCTTAGTTGAAGCTGGGTGTGTTCTGAAAAGACAGAGGTGGCCTTTGGTATGGTCAGGTAGACTTGAGGGGTTAAAGCACACTGTGTTTCACTGATCCAACTTGGGTCAGAACTGGTCTTGTCCTGCACTCCCCAAACACAGTGCTTGTCTTGCCCACCCTCCTGCAGGCCCTCACTCTCCCCAGAGGCCATCGTGGGCCCAGCCACCAGGAGCACCTCCACACCCCAGGGCAGGTACACACTGAGGTGAGTAGGCTGGAGGGCTGGGGCTCGCCAGGGTTGGCTTTGGGATCCTGAGTGTCATTCCTCTTTGTTCCTTCCCCCCAAGGGATGCCCTAGACCTGAGTGACATGGACTTAGAGCCTCCTAGAGGTTCTTTCCCCTCCTTTGAGCCTCGGAACCTCCTCAGCCTGTTTGAGGACTCTCTAGACCCAGTCTGAACCACAGGCCCAACTTTGGTGCTTTTAACCTTGGAACCCCTTTCCTGTCCCTCCCCTGGGAAGGTGGGATCCCTCTGGGAGCTCCTGTGTCTAATAAAAAGTATTTGAATCTTGGGAGTACCCAAGCTTGCTCGAGTAGCAACACAATGCTTCCTGTCGCTTTATTAATGTTGCCCAGGGTCTTGGGCCTCTGGAAAGATCCAGCCCTGAGGCTGAGCCCTGCTGCAGAGCCCCGTTATCCCAGCCTCAGGCCAGAGGCCTGGAGCCACACACTGTGTGGAGCAAAGATTTCCTGAGTGAGCATGTCCCCAGTGGACAGGTTGGATCATCAAACCATGGTACTTCAGCGGGGCTGCGTCTGGAGTCACTCACTGTACATCTGTGCCTGTTGTGTGGGAAAAGCAGCCACTGCCCTCCTGTCTCTTGGCCACTTGATTCAAGAAGGGCTGGTGTCTACATGATTCTGGGAAACGGGGGTGGTTCTGCTGCCCCGTACCCTTACTCCAGTCTCTTGGACAGGAGAGGGGAGCTTCTGGCTGCTAGGGAGGCATGCAAGGGGGACAGATGGAGGACATGAAGCATGGGCAGAGGGGCTGGCCTCTTATGGGAAGGGCAGGATAAGGTGATGGCTCTAGACTGGCAGGGAGGCCATTATGGCATAAATTGGCAGGATTCTAAATGTCAGCGAGATTCGACTCCAGAGTCCCTCTACCCAACCCTTACAAGTCACAGAGATAAAGAGGTGTGGGGGATGTCCTTCCAGCTGATAGTAGAGAAGTCAAAGCAGGAAGGGAAGTTGGAATTCCAGGCCTGGGTAGGAGAGGTTTTTCCACAGGGAAAAAGATAAGGAATCTCAGCTTGGAAGTCCTGTGCACTGGTAGCATCCAGGGAGCCTGCCCCTTGCAGACCAGCAGAAGGAGGGACAGTGGCATTATTGGCCCCAAGAGGCCACAGGCAGGCAGAAGGCAGCTCAGTCCGGGGAACAGGGATGGTGAGCGGCCCAGAGTAGGTCAGGCACAACACCGGAGTGCAGCTGGAGGATGGAGCCCACGCTGAGCAGGTGCATGATCTGGTGGGAATTACCCCAGTAGTCGAAGCGGCCAGGACCCCAGCGCTCTGGCAGGCGGGCCACGTTCACCAGCCCTCCGAGCAGTGCCAGTGCATCCATGCGCAGGTAGCAGGGCAGGGAGCTTGGAGCCCCTGAACCCAGCCCTACTCCTCGGGCCCCAAACACCAGTAGGCGGGCCCCAGCTTGCCAACCAAAAGCTCGGAGCCGTGCACTGGTAGAGGGCGCTGTGAGGGCGCGCCAGCCAGCTACGGCCGACAGCATAGTGTAGCCCACCAAGGCAGCTGGGCGCAGCCAGGGCCTGCAGGCCAGGGTACAGTGTATGATGGGCAGAGCCCCTGCAGAGAGAGAGAGAGCAGGAGAGGGCAGTAAGTCTGAGGCTGCCCGGGGATCATGCCAGAACCTCCGCTCCCCCATCCCTGGCTCACCGAGGGTATTGACGAGGCAGACTCCACACATATCCAGAGCGAGGAGCCGGGCATACACAGGGCTGCCCCCTTGGTGGCACATGAAGAGGTGATACAGCACTGAGGCTGCAGGGGGGGCCAGGCAAGCCACACAGTGTGTGCCCCCCAGCCAGCCATCCTTGCCCAGCTGACCCCAGGGCAAGGTCATCGGCACCAATAGCAGGAAACCCAGCAGGGCCAGCCCTGGGGGAGGGAGACAGTTATCAATCAGGCAGTTTCAGCATACAGCACAGATCTCTTCCAGAAGGGGACCAGTCTAAAGCTGATACAAGAGGATGAGAATGAGACAGGTCTGAAGCTGATATCCAGCAATCAATCCAGCATGGAGGAAGCTCAGGGTCACAGACAGGAAACTCATGGCTCGCCGAAGTTCTGGGAAGTACGGATCATGAGCCCTCTTTGCAGGTGAGGAAATAGGCTTAACCTGCCCCAGGTGAACCCAGCAGTAAGCAAAGGACGGGACAAGCCCAGGCAGTCTCCCTCCCAAGCTGCTGTCACCCTTAAAGCAGGAGGCCCCACCACTGCCTGTTTTGGGGTATCGGCAGGAACCCTGGGAGGTGTGACCTCAGGCTAAATTCTGAGTAGGACATGTGGGCAACACACCAACCCCAGAGCTACCAAGTACCTCTCCAAATGCTCACACAAATGGAGGATGGAGGTATTTTTGTCTTCCAGAAAAGGGCAAAGCCAGGCAAGTTCATAGTGAGACTGAAAGCTTGTTCTGACTCTCCAGAGGCTCAAAGCCCTTCTGGGGGATGCCTACCTCTCCCTAGGGGCAATGGTATTGCTTTCACAGGGCAAACCAGGACTCTGGCTGCTCGCCCACTCTTGGAGGGGGTCTGGCCACTCATAGTCTGTCACCAGGGAGGGTCCGCAAGGCTAAACCCAGGTGGTTCTGGGCACCTCTTCTGGCTGGGGCGGCTCAAGGACGGGCAAGTCTGTGTCAGCAGAGTGGCAGAGGGGCAGGGTGCCATGGGGGAGGGAGCACCACGGCCAAGCAGAACTGAGGCGAGGGCAATAGGGCAGGAGGTACTGGGGCTGGGATTCTTGGACACAGTTAACACCCATCTTCGGTGCTGGCCGGGAAGTGTGCCCTGGGCACTGGCATTGTGAAGGAGACTGACACAGGGCTCCTTACCACCGAGGCTGAGCTCAGCGGGATTAACTGCGTCTGGCCCCCACTCTGCTCCTCTCTTCGGTTCTGCCCCCACCCCCTGCTGAGAAAGCGGAAGCTGGCAGCAGGGCTCGGACAATGGGAGCTTTGTCACCGCAGCTCCTAGCCGAGTCAGGGCCGGGACTAGCCGGGACCAGGGAGCTGGGGCTTTGGGCCCACACAAGCAGGGCGGGGAGCAGATGCGCGGAGTGGGACGCGGCTCACCGTGTGTGTAGATGTTGCCCAGCTCGTTGTGCAGGTAGAAGAGGCTGCGCAGGCAGCCCGAGCCGCTGCTGGCCGGCCGGTAGCCTGTCAGCACGAACTTATTGAACTGCAGG